ATGCATGTAGGCCCGATGACTCTGCCGAAGAGACACCACGTATCGGAACCAGTCCAGAGGTTGCTTGCATTGAATCAATACTGCTGAAATTATGCACTTCCCACACGGCCGTCTGCCCGATGGGTTGTGTAAAAATAACTGCTATTTTTTTTTTAATTTAGAGAGACAGAAATATGAAAGGAGGCATTATGTCTGTTCAGGCTGACACTTGTTCAGGCAAGTGGCGTGCAATAGGAATTGAGCTCTGGCTCCGCGATTCCGAGTTCTGGATGGAAATAGTTTATTATTATTATTATTCTTGTTGTCATTCTGATAAAACGAGCTTTTTTTGCCCGTCCAAGGACGGGGTTATTAGAAAGTAAATCTGAAATATTCAATCGAAAAATTGTTCAGATCATGATTATTAATTGCCCCATGTGGAGTGACGTCACCCGCTAATGGTTATTGGGGAGGGGTGCGGCATGTGGAGTGACGTCAAGCTCGACCTTTCTCTGCGTTAGTGTTAAAATGCACCCACTCATGAATATTAATGAGGGGGAGTGGGAATCCGGAGTCACGTCACGCAGAGGGGTGGGCCTCATGAGGAGTGACGTCACGCGCGGGACGGACAGACATTTCTGGGTGATTATAGTAGGTAATGGTTCTGAACCCAAGAGGGAAGATGGAACCGTGTTGTCCATTGACCAGGATTTGAACCCTCACACATGCGGCTACAGCCATCGGAACACAGCAATACTTAGACGAGACCCACCCCGTGGCAATCACTCAACATGTTGAGACATTGTGGAGATGTTTTATTTTGGCGAGGACAGCCGACTCGCGCTGTGTGCATCCAGGAGTGGAAAGCAGTCTCCCAAACTCGAATTCATAATTAGTTTACGTTTGTTCAGATCGTCGTGTAGTGTATGACGCCAATTTTCTTACAATTATAACCCCCCCGCCCCCATCTGACAGAGCCAATTGAATAAAGTTTTCACGTGGGCAAAACCGTAATGTTGACAAGCAAGCACAACTTCATTGAAAACGAATTTCTTTCGAACGGCTTTTTCTGTATTTTGTTTGTTGTCCTTCCCCCGCACCCCCGATTCGCATGGTTGACTACGTACGGTGCGAAAGAAGTTCAACAGATACACAACTTGGCGACTTTGCCCCGATGTTTCGCTGGAGATTACAACCAGCATCACCTGGACTTGAATAAAAAGCTCCGTTCGAACGGCAGAGCTACTGCTATCGTTAAACAATTGTTACAGTTAAAAATATGGCCGTTTTACGTACGCGATCGAACCCAATAGAAATGATGTCCCATCGGTCATGGAAGCCTACGCCCCGAATTCTCCCCCTCCCCGAACTCCACGGACATTCGAGTGGACGGCTCGCTTTGCCAACATCTGCCACGAACGACGCATACGGAGGCCATGTGGGGGCCCATTAATATAGTGGGACCATGCATGAGTTGGCGTACTACGTATCGACTAATATATCCTTATCCTTTATAAGAGCAATATTTACAACAAAAAAACACACACATACTTCCTATACATTCGTCCATGCTATACAATGTGGATATATAACTTGATATGCGAAATACTGTAACGCATAACTTCACAGCCCGACCGAGAAAAAAATGTTCACCTACGGCGAAATAACGCAAGCGGAGCTGAAGGTACAATCGTTCATTTTTTTTTAAATCCCACAAATCCTTTCCAATTGTAGTGACGCGGGAGAAGAGCGTTCGCCTCTCTCGTGGCCGATAATGGCGCTGCCCCCATCCCAAGGAGCATGGCAGTGGCGCGTTTAAAAAGAGGGTCTCGCGATTATTACACGCTGCATGGCTGGCGGCTTTTAATTACGGACAGTGATATTTTACAAAAATGTCGACTCGGTAGCAATCTCATTCTGAAGTCAACGATTGTCATAAAAAATAAACAGCTTCGACTGGCCAACTCTATTCATAGAAACACACCCAACTATCGGGACCTATATTGGGGCACAGGGAAACACTTGTCACAGAAGAGGGCCAAGTTTCATTTAAAACGTAGAAACACGCGGCAGTGGAAAGGGACGTCGAGATGCATGGCAGGACATAAGAACGTGTCAGGACAAATGGACAGATTTCAGGACACGAGGTTCGATGTCAAACAACACGTCAGGGCTAAACGCAACAATGTTTGCAGTGATTCAATGCGCCCACTCATTATCGGAATACGGTATTATGTGCATGCCTAGAGCCTAAGCCCTAAACCATCACCGACGCAACCCAAAAGAAATATAACTGTTATTCTGTCGTTTTACTACCTCGACTGTGTGTCCAACACAAGTTTGAAGCTTCGTTAAAACGGGAACAAAAGAAGTGAACGTTGCAGGCACGTGGCTTTCAGGAGTGCTGCCCTAGCGCCGTTTAGCGACTTCAACTGCGGAGGGACCGCCGTAGCTTTCATGAAAGGTAGAGAGGGGCATGGCATTGCATCTATGTCACGATGCACAATGCATGCTGGAAGCCGGCCATATTAGGCCAATGCAGGTCTGCGCGCGTTGGGGAATTTCAAACTCACTCCATCTGAGAAGCAATTGGCCACGATTCGAGAGTTTGTTGTTGTTTTTGTTTTAATTCACAGAAGCAGATTTCTTCCACTGCCACGCTGCCGGGGATCAAATTAGTTTTAGCAACAAAATAAGCGAGCACCCAAATGTTTTGTCGCGTTACGTCCTCCGTTCACAAACATGCAGCCCAAGGACTTCATCTGGCTAGAGCAATATTCTGGTCAATGAAGAGCAGAAGTTGAAATGCGGGAAAGAGAGGGGGGGGGGGGTAATGCATTGCTACTCCCACAGTTAGGGGGGGATGTTCTGCGAGACACTGATATCAGTTTTAAGGGGTCATTGGTCCAATCGCCACTGAATATTAATGGCACCTATTTCTCCACGACGATTGTGCCAACACAGGGGTCGGCAAACCAAAGCAACAAGAAGAGCCATTTTCCGAATTCGGTACAAAACTCAATATTTCCAAAGCCGCAATGCATGCGAACACGTACTACACACATTACGTCACGGAGCAGTCCGTATAGAGCCGCAGGTTGCCCGACCCTTGAGCTTACAAGAGGTCATAACACCGACCGCAGATATTGTTCTTTCGCTCCGGCTGACGTTCGGCGGCATAAGCTTGCAGGACCATTCTAAACACGGCGTCCGATGAAAGCAACAACGCGCCCCACCACACGGAGGAAGGGGGCCACACTCTAGGCGAAGGACCGAAATTACCACGTGGGTGCGGCAAAGGGTTGTGATCGCTGGCGGTGTTTTCGAAGTGCGACGGTGGGGTTGGTGGGGAAAGATTTTATTGTCGTCAACACACGGGGCCCAGCACCGAGTCTCCTGTAGCCAGGGATCAGAGAGGCCGTGGTTCCCCCACAGAACCATTTGTCAAGAGCCTCTCCCAGCTCCCAACGAGCACACGGGCCGGTCGGCTTGTCACTTCCTGGCGGCCCCGAGCCAGCGGTGGGATTTCCGCATGTTTGAGTAAAGCAGGCGGGGGGGGGGGGCAAGTCTTTCCCGTCTGACCTCTGTTGACTTCCCACAAAGTGGTGCTTAATTTACCAACCCCCCCCCCCCCATATATACGATGGGTCGAGTCGGCCCCTGACTGGCATAACAACGAGCAGGCATCATTTGGCTCTCCCCCCCCCCCCCACACTCGAATGACCTTCATTATATCTAAAGTTGCGATAATCGAGGTCTGTTTCAAAAGGGCATAAACACTGAAAGCTTTTGTGGAAAATTGTACAGCATAAAAAAACATATAGGTCCTATGAATAAAAGTGGCAAAATATGGCAGCTTTATCAGATTTCTCCTCGAGGTCTCCATTGAACCAACATTTAAAACTGTTCCTAAATTTTCTTCAGATAAAAAAACAAACTGCTTCAAAAGTAGAAAATGTAATAACGATCGCAGTTTGTCGCAATATTTCAATAAATATACGGAAAATAAAATAACAGTTTCAGATCGGTCGACTGAGAAGAGCATGGTGGTGGTCTGACTGGCGATGGGAAACTACCATTGCTGTAATGGCAGACAAGTGCTCCAGACGGCCGCGAGAGAATGGGACCAAGAAGAGAGGTTGGTGCTCTCACTCACGGGGGCCCACTACCCTCGTTGCATCTCTGCGGACTAAGAGGACTGGTCCCCGCCATCAAGGCGGCCGTATGGGGGGGACACTAGAAGGTTTTTTTCAGGCCGGGGAAAAGAAAAAAACTTCCCACGGCCCTCCCGAGGCTGTACGTGAACCCATCAGTTCACGCCAACGCCATAACCCCCCAAAGCTTCAGCAAAATCCGAACCACTCTGCTGGCGATTTGATGGCACCACCAGCTTCTCACAACGGCCATCACATCGACGATGTTGATCAAGATGATGGCGGCGATGACGATGATGACGATGATTAACATGGAAACGGCAACTGGATTCACATCTCATTACAAATCCTGAAACGAATTTGAATTGAAATCGGCTTTGCGACAGAACTGGACACCGGTAGAGCCCCTGGTGAAGCACAATCATCTCACTGGGGTTGGCTGCACTGGGCATCGACTGGAGCACGGGGTGTTGCCGGCTACGTGTTCCTAGAGCTGGGCCTGCCCTCACCCTGCCTCCCCCCCCCCCCAACTCAAATCTCAACCTCAATTAGCCAGCATTGTATTTCGGTTGTTCCGCGTGATCCAACTCCAGGACTGGTTCGCCAGATAAATGCCCCCCCTCCCTCCCCCACCACTGCTGCTCGGGTTGCCGCCTATCCTGGTGCTCTCAGAATCGTCCATCCTCGTGTCGAGGTAGCCATCCTGGGAAATTTGTAAACATCCCGGTTCTTGGCAGTCTGCGTAATAACACGCCGCTCTAAGGCAACACGATCACGTGTATAGTTCTTCCCTTCTTGCGGTATTTCTTCCCACGTTTTTTTTTATTAAGAATATTACACGCACGTATTTTGAACCGAGGAGGCGGCCACCCTGGCAGGCTTTCCGCCCAGCACCCCCCCCCCCGGGGGGCCGGCGCCTCTACTTGTCGCTGTCGGCACAGCTGCTCAGGCTCTGCGTGGTGGTGCTGTTTTCCGAGCCGGGGAGCGGGTCCGAGTCGCGCGCCGCGTCTCCCCCGGGGAGCAGGGCGGGCGCCGCCTCCGGGGTGGTCGTGACGGACGCGGCGGCGGGGCCGGCGCGCGTCGCGATGGCTGGAGACGGGGTGGTGGTGGGGGGAGGGGGGGGGAGACGCGGTACGGAGGGAGGCACGGGCAGAGAGAGAAGGGGGTGGGGATGGGGGGGTAGGCTCGGCGAACGTGGTTGGGGGGGGGGGGGGGGGGCTCCGCGTTGACGTCTGGGAGCCGTGCTGGCGACGCGCGACACGACCGATTAACGCGCTCGGGTCGTCGACCCAGACGGGCAAGCAGAGGGGCAAGGGGAGAGAGAAAGAAAGGTTAGCACCGTTGGCTACGTACGGTGCGAAAGAAGTCCAACGTACCCACAAACTAAACTACATATCGAAGCGGCTTATCGTGCGGAAATTTTAAGCGGCCAAATACTCTAAACGCTTGGTGTCGAGTCAAAAATGTGGAGGGAAAAACCGGAGGACCTGGAGAAAAATCCACACGGCCACAGGGAAAGCGAGACACATAAACTCCAAATATACAGCAGGTATCGTCAGGGTCGGGATCGAAACCCACAAACGACTTCCTGTATACCAGTCGAGATCGTTAACATCTAACCAACGTAGCACATTTATACATACAGAGGAAGGCCGCTGCGGAACACGAGGAGATGGCCGTGGTGAGCACCATGGTGGGAGACCAAGAGGCAGGGAAAATATGGTGGACGTATGTTGAACTTCTTTTTCACCGTACATAGCTAACCGTGATAAATCAGACGTGCGGGGAAGGAGGTCCCATGCCAGGATATGAAGGATTGTGGAGTGGACATAGAGATGATGGCCCAGGACAAGAATGAGTGGAGAGAGAGGATCAGGAAACCATATCCACAGAGAAGTGGGTTTAAAATTCCAGGAAGAAAATACGAGGCTTAAGTTGTTTTATTATAGGGAAGACAGCTCTGAGATCTCGAGCCTGGTGGCGCTGTGGTGGTTGGACCTTCCACTCACAATTGAAAGGTTAAAATTTCCAGTCAATGATCGACTTGACCCATTATCATGGTCAGCACCTTTCTATGATCAGCAAAATAAGTAGCACTTTGTGGGAAGTCAGCTGTCCCTCTGAAAGACAGGCAAATCGTAATGCCATGGGGGATGTGGAATTCCCAACACTGACAAGGCTACGAAGAGATAACAGCACCGCTCAATGCCCTTTTGAGCGGCAGAGGAAAACAGTTTGGTTTGGACCACCGGGGAGATAAGGGTGGTTTACACGTGGACCGACACTGGCCAACACTTTCCTCTTGCGTGCCCGTGCCAGCCCCAATTAGGCGCTCGCCAGCAAGGAAGTGACAACCGCGGCTTCCGCGTCTCTTGTCTATGCGCGTGTCCCACGAGCAGGCGTGTGCTTTTCTACCTAAAGAGCCAGTCCGGCTGTGGATGAGCCAGAGCGCAGCGGTGAGGAGAGCGCCGATGAGGAATGCGCCAAACCATCCTAGCACCGACGGCGTGTCGACGCCACGCAGAGCTGCACCGCAGAGAGAGACGCACGTGGTTAGCCGGGCGTGTATGTAGAACTCTCGCACCATACAGTCAACAGTGCTGAACGGAGGTGTGGGGGAAGGACAAAACGGAACGCAACTAGCAGTTCTAATGAAATTCTTTTCAATCTATATTTAAAGAAGTGCATAAATCCAGTGGCTTCCTAATACATCATCACACTCACATGCACCACCAAATACCCACACCGTCACATCACATCATCAGAACCCTGTGCTAACCCCGCACCTTCGATTAGCACGGTTGGCTACGTACGGTGTGAAAGAAGTTCAACATACATGCAAGCACCAAATACCCACACCAGTGCGGTTGCTCACCGTTACTGCGCAGCTGTTCCTGGCTGGTGGTGGTTGCGATGACGTGTCGCAGGGTCGGACCGCGGAAGTTGATCATGCAGGGTCGTGCGGGCACGTCCGGGCACTGGGCATCGCGGCACGGAAACAACAGCGGAAGGGGGAATGTCAACAATAATGTCATCAGCAACGGCAAAGGGCCCAAAAACAGCCGTCAGACAACAACGTCAACAGGCCCAAGAACAACGTTAACAACAATAACATCAACGAGAACCTCAACAAGAGCAGGAACGATGGCAACAACAACATCAACATCGTCAATACCAAAAAAGCGTCACCTCGACACTGTGGTCTATGGGTGGCCACACGGAGTTGGCTTCCCACAGTACAAATACAACAGAAGTCCGTTTTTGCACACGAACCTAATTGCACGCATTAGGCGAGATCGCTTTGTAACCGAATCAAATCGTGTGCAAATGCGACGCTAACATTAAATTTGGGCCAATGAAGCGAATGAGACGCGGAATGAGACAGAACAAACAACCAACATGGTGGCGCAATTAAAGAGAGACGAGAAAAAAAACTATTCTTGACATCAAACCGCAATGCCCACCATGCACCTACTTCTCCGTGCCTCTCTGGATCACACTGAGGCACGGAGGGGGGGGGAGGGGACGAGGTGGAGGAAGGGGCGAGTCGTACCCGTATCTGTGGCAGCTCCTCCATCATGGACAAGCACACGGACACGTTGCAGTGCAGGTACTGGAGACGCGCGTCCGAGCGAGGGGACAGCGGGAACCGGAACCTCATACTCGCCTCTGCCATCGCAAACAGAAAGACAAGGACAACCCCCTCCTCCATGTAGCCCACACAGGCCGTTCGCGAGTCACGTACGAGGGGCCGGTACGACGCACGAGGCGAGCGTTTTGTGGTGTGGATAGCACCGCCGATGCCTGGCCACCAAAAGTCTCGCTGGTGCCGATGTTTTACACGCCGCACCAGGTAGTCATTTTATTCTTTAGGGAGAGGCACAGAAAAGCTCTTGTTCAGAGGTGACATGGCCACACACGATTAGCTCATCGAAGTGGCTTATATCAAATTGAAATTTACCAAAGCCGAATAAAAGCTACAACTAATGTTTCTAAATGTGGAAGGCAAAACCAAAAGGAACCACTGCGGGGAGAGAGAACACGTGAATATTAATATGTACAACAGGGTCGGGATTGAACCCACGACCTCCTGCGTACCAAGTGAGGGCGATAGCATCTTCTCGCAACCGTGGTGCCCCAGTAAACTCGGCGAAGCCCAGGACCAGTTTTAAATAATTTGCCGCTGATGTGGGCCAGGGCCAAGAACTCAGGCTCGTAGCATGGTGCACGCCAACCACCTCGCTTCCACAATTCACTTCCACCGAGGAAATCGGTACCAATCAGGGTTTGTCCCCTCAGGCGATATGGCCAAGGGGGGAACATCTGGGTCAGGCCAGATGTGTTTTTCGCCGACTACGAATACAATTTCCATTTGATTTATGAAACGACTGAATGTCGTTTCATAAATTGGTGTCTC